CTTACCTTTTGCCTAGCAATTTTTGACGCTGTTCAAACTATGTTCGTCACTGGTTTCCTTTATTCGTTTCGAGTATCCAATTTTGTGAAACTGTAAAAAGTACAGGTGAGGGACTATGATTACAAAGATTTTCTGGTCTTCACGAGGTAGCGTGTGCATGTTCTGTTGTGTAGCGTTTGGTGCCCTCGCCAGGCCGCACTTGGCCCAATGTTGTCCATGTTGCGGAAAAGATGGTATAGAGGCAAAGTGGCCCGCCTACCACCGCGCGGGGGTTGGATCCTGGATCGGTTCTTGCGCGGAGCTACCAAGCCTTTTACTCTCTGTGAACGGCAAACTAGTGCCAGATTTGTCTGGGAGGATAAGAACACTGACGTACGTCGGCTGGCCCCCACAAAGTATGCCATATCGCCACTATTATTCTAAATAGATGTAGAATGCGTGCGACATCCCAAAAGGGTCTGATCAAGAGCGGGAGCACTATCAGTTTTCATTATGAACGAGCGTTCAGTGGCCTCATGATCAGCTTACAACTTTCAAATGGTGAAAGTAAGTCCTGACTTCTTATTCATGAACGGCTGATTCAGGCAAGCTGAGCAGGAGAACTCGAACAATGAAATGAATACGATCAAGGAGAAGGAGATAGAATTACAGGCTGAGTTAAGGGCTGAGCTCGCTGAGCCACTGCCAAGCATAGGCCGAATCAACATACCGGTAAGTTCAATCGATAATGTGTTGAGTTTTGCTTGGAGTCAATCGTATAACTCAAAGCTCAGAACTAGAGATCTCTCACACGATGGCGTTGCAAGGATAATAACTTCTCTATATGCATAGCTTCGTGGTTGCTACCCATACAATCAGCACTATTTACTCTTTGCTGCCCCATTATTGGTATTTAGGAAGATGGGATTTTTTCCCTAGCAATAGGTTTACGCAAGATGTTCTCTGTTCATCTTCGCCCCACGGATATATCTCCTTAAAGGCACAGTTCGCGACCGCAAATTGCGGGAAACGGAACTCAAATAGGCACAAAAAAGTGCTAAGTATCTGATTAGCGGAGAAAAGCAGCAGAAAAAGCAGTCCGAAATGTTATAGAGAAAGATAACATAGTGGCTACTAGCTAGTAGCTAGCAGCCGGTGAGGGTCGGCATGGGCCTAAGGGGTGTCCATGGGCCTAATTAGTCAGCTTCTAGCGGAGTTCTTGCCGTTTTTCACATTTTGAAAGTAGCGCAGCCTCAAAAATCGCCTTCCGGATCGTCCGACACATTTGAGAGGTCATAGCCTTATTTTATCGCGGAATGTGCCTTTAAAGCAAAAACTCTTGGGGCCAACAGTGTAGGCGCTGAGTCCAAGAGCCACTGGTGTTGGCCCCCTACCAAAGAGACCATACTCTTTCGCGCGGATATCCGTTGTTGATATTTGTCTTTAGAGGTCTTGATTACAATCTCTTTAAGCGAGTTTTTCACGCAGTTGGTGTTTTTAGGTAGTTTGGCCCCAAGACACTAGGCAAGGCGTTTGCTAGTCAAGGGGCATGGTCTTGTTGAGAGGGTGAAAGAACCTGAGGGGACGGATCCAACCTACTGTCGCTGAAGGAAAAATTCGGTAAAACCTGGCCTCTGATTTTCGAAGAATGAGAGAGTAAAGGGTGATAGTGCCGCACATCTCTCTGATCTGGCTATCCCTTGTTTGCCAAGTTCTGTGAAACCTGCATTTATTTTTTCATTCAGAAAACTCGATACATCAATCCGGATGTGGTTGCGCAGTATGAAAAGGTAAGAACCTTTAGATGTTGATTTTTGCGACCCTTTTTTTGGGTGAGGGGGTTGATTGGAGAGAAGGATAACTTTTTGAAGAGTTACCGGGAAGTTACTCTTTCGTTTTGCTTAAAATAAAAAATTTAGATCACCTCAACGTCAATGAATTCGTTGGATGCATTGGAAGAAAAACTAGCCGAAGTGGAAGCGCGGAAGAAAAAAGCACGTAAACTCATCACCACGCATCAGTTAAGGGCGAAGAAGTTCCGG